GAAACTCTTAAAGAATCGCAATTTTTTATGATTTCTTTTAGTATTTTACAAAAATATTGTGAAACTCTTAGAAAGTTATAAAATATTGTGATTTCTCTTCAAATTTAGCAAAAAAATATAAAAATCTTAAAGAATCGCAAATTTTTATGATTATTCATCAAATTTTGCAATTTTCATAAATCTTGAAGAGAAATTCACAATTTTTTGCGATTCTCCTAGAGTTTCACATATAAATTGCATATTTTCTTTGAGATTCGCATATAATCTAACTGTAATTTCAGATTAATCTGAAAATTCTAATTCAATTCAAATTTTTACTGGTCACAGTTCAATTCAGATTTAGATTGACATTTTTAAGATTAATAATCTGAATCAAACTAAACTGAAATTTTCAATTCAAATTCAGATTAGCTTCTAATTCAGACTTAACTGAACCGTTTAGAGCTTTACATGAAGTAGATCAAAAGTATTAAATAGTTATAGATTTTCTAATTGCGAAAAAAATAAGTTAGTATATAATATATTATTAGATCTACCTGATACTGTATTAAAATCACCTAGCAAAATGATTTTTTTGTTACATTCACAAGTTTCAACAATAATATTATTAAAGTTATTATAGATCTTTTTACATAAGATCTAATTAGAACTTGAAATATAACTATTGATAAGTCAAATACAAAATTTGTTATGAAATTGAAAATTAACAAAGTAATATAGCTGTATTTTTTATTATAATTATAAATATGATCTGCAAAGTGATTTTTAAATAAGGAAACTAACTTCAAAACCAGATAATTAAGCTGTTTGGTCAGAATTAAAAAAGAAAGAATAATGTTAAGATATTGATTTATTGAAATTTATAATATTACTATTAATCTTGAAGTTAGTTTCTCGTAAACTGATAATATCTAAATTATCAAAATTGTATAAATTAATTAAAGATTATTGTTTATGTGTCTGAAAAAATGAGTGAATATTATGTGTGATGATATTAATACAGGACAATGAAAAATTTGCGAGGATATATAAATTGCTATTATTATTTATATCATTATTATTGTTATTAAATTAGCTACATGGACTAGTTCTATAAATTCATTATGTCAATTATTAAAGGTATCTTGACATAGGTGATGTGAATATACCATTTGCTGATTTAGTATAAATAGATGATAGAGTCACCTCAGTTATATCTAGAAAATATTAAAATCTAATTTAAGTTGAATTTATAATAAATGTTATATATTAGTAATAGCAAGACTTGTATTATTTAATTTAAGGATGTTATCTTTTAAATTAGTTCTTAAAAAGGCATTTTCATCTTTAAGATGAGTGATTTTTGAGATTTGCTTTTTAACAATATTATCTTTAATATTAAGGCTAACTATATATGTAGTCTCTTCTGTTTCTATACCATTTTTGTTATATGTCTTGTTAAGAAGATCAGCTTAGTAAGGGAGGAATATGTCAATATTAAGTATAGATTTAATAGTGAATGTATGTTCAATAGTGAAGTATAAATTACAATTTATTTTAGCTAATTAACCTACTATAGTTTCGAGTTGATTTGAAATTTTAATAAATATATCTGATTATACTGATTAATCATTATTTTTACAGGATTGATGATAATCATATTTGTAATCCTCTGCTCAAGAGCCATATACATGAATATTTACATCAAGATCTCTTTACCTTTGTTATTAATAAGTATTTTGACTACTTATTTTGATAATTATATAGAATAATACATTATTTATTTGAAGGGAGAAGAAAATACAATATTTTGTTAAAAAGGTTTGATTGAATTTTTTGTTTATTATCATTGATTAATTAGTTATCTTTAAGTAGATTAGTGTTATTTTGTGGTGATTTATTATTAGCTGTAGGTTTTAGTTTATTAATAGAGGTATAGTAATTTTAGAACTGCATCAGTTGATATCTTTGGTAAAGGCTTTATGTTTATTGATCATTAGGGTCAATCTCTTTTTTAGCAATTTTGTGATTAGTGATCAGGATTTTGACATATGAAATATAATTTAGAGTTAGGATAGTTCAAATAAGCTTTTTTCTGTCTAAATAATAAGTTTCACTAATCTTTGCAGCTTCTATAGTATCCTTATTTTTAAAATAAAATATAGCATATTGCAGATTATGGTAATTAGTACATGATTTAAAAATGACTTAAGCAATAGCTTCTATTGTATTATCAATTAAAATCAGGTAATGTCAATTAGTATCAAGTGATAAATTAATAAATTTTAAAAAAATTGTGACTTTTTTTAACATCTTTGTTTGTCATAGTACAAGAATAAACACAAACTAGATCTTTTAGAATAAAGTAGCTGTTTAGCTTATTTAGAGTGATCATATCAGTGTTCTTCTCAAAGGTGATAGTTGCTTGTTACCGTAAATTTTTAGTAGACATAGTACATTTAGCAATCTTTCCAAAAAAGAAAAAGGTGGATTGTAAGTTTAACTCAATAGTGAAGATTAGGATTTTCATGATTCTGATTAATAATTTGAGAACATATTTAGTAGCAGGTTTTGTGGTTAAAGAGAAAATGTGATATTATTTAAATAAGAAATTCAAAGAATTATTGCATAATTTGCTTCTGAGCATAAGGTAAATCCAATTCAGACAATTTTTTTTGTTGGATCATCAAAGTAAGAACGAATTAAAGTATAAATAAAAAATATATAATGTGATATAAACAAGTCATATCCTCATTTTGTTTTTCTCTATTTGTTTTAGTTAGATAAAATAATTCATTGGCATAGTAAGCAAAGAAGATAGGAGCCTTCATTTTTCTTTTAAAGTGAATACCATTTTATCTTTATTAAGACCATTCTTAGTGACATTAAAGGACTGGTCAACATTGAGGGGAATATTGTTAAAAGTAGAATTAATTTCTAAAGCTTTCCCTTTGTCAATGATAAGAAGGGTTGTGGATTCAACTTTTATGTCTAAAGATGTGTTTTTGTCAGAAGTTTCTTTAAAAGTTAAAGCTTCAGATTGTTAGAGGATCTCAATAAACTGTTTTTTTATTAAATGTTGTTATTATTCATTATTTGGTAAAGAAGGACAAGTTTTATTAGACTTGTTGTTATTATTTTTCTGTTTTTTTTTTCAGTCATTTTTGAAAATTAGGGATCAGTGAAAAGAGTTTTTTTGTTAATAAAAAAATTGGTTGTAAATAGCATATAAATAAATTTTTAGTTTCATGTGAATTAAACTAGTTTATTTCATTATATATTCCTAAATAGTTAGTGAAATTTTAGAATTTATTTGAATTTCGTCTATAAGTTTAAAGTCAACTTTGCAAATAATTGGTAAATAATCATTAATTACAATAAAATAGTCTAAAGTTAAAATTTATATTACCTTTTTTATATTAATTAACACTTGTATTAATTTATTGATAATCTAAACATTTAACTTTAATATATTAATATAATTTTATCCAAAAATTTATAGTTTCGTTAAAATTAAATTATTTCCTAATGTTAATTTTTCTATAATTATTCAAATCATGTTGATTACTCTATACTTGTACTGTATATATTTTGAATCAAAACATTGAATAGATCTAAAAAGAGGAAGTTCATTATATTATCAATATATTTATCTAATACTTGCTTATATACTTCACTAAAAATTGGTTTATAAATAATAAGAACAACTTCTATTGATGCATATTTTTCAATTAATTTGCATATAATGATGGATCTTTTGTACTATTTTCTAGTGATGCACTTTGTATGAAAATCACATATGATGCAATTGAATGAGATCGTATTTTAAAAATTCTAAATCAGTTACAAATCTAAAATAAATTTGTTAATAAAAAATATTTAAAGTAAATATAATAAATATAATTTGAATATTACTTACTGTTAAAATTTCAAAATCAAAAGTGAGTCTATCATCACGAAAAATTTGAGCCAATTCCTTAATTGCATTACTACTATTATCAATTTTTTCTTCTTCTTGATAGAAAGTAGTAATAAAAGGAATGTATTGATTAATCCAAAAAACAAACTTAAACCACAAATTCCATCTAGTTTTAACAGGTAATAGTGGCAAAGTTATACTAATAGTTGAATTCTCATTTTGGTTAAATTAATGGAAGTGATGGATTAACAACTGCATTTAAAGAATCCATCTACATTTACGCGCTGAGAAATAAGAAAAAAAGCTTTAATTAATAAAAATAATATTATCTAATAATTTAAATTGAGAATAATCTAACAAATTTCCTCCCACTAAATTATAGATATGCGCTAAACATGCATTATGATATATATTTGGGAAAAAAATGGTTTAAATTCTGAAAAGACTTTATCATATAACTTGCATTATCAGAAATATAAAAAATAACAACTTCATAAGAAATACTGTGTATAGTTGAAGAGTTGTCATAACCAACTGCGAAATAGTAACATTATCGACCTTAATGAGATGTTTTGTTGCAACTAATTTTGTTTGATTCTTAAAACTAAAAAGAATATTAACAGCTGCTCTACCACAGATATCGGTTGTTTCATCAACTGTAATACAAATTCGTTGTCCTACTAACATTATTTTTAATTGATTATTTCAGATTCATAAAATATTGGCAGATATTTTTCTCGAAGCTGATTAGCACCAACCATAGATCCGCCTAAAAGAATTTGATTATACATATATAACTAAAATATTATATTTTAATAAATAGAATTTATATTATAATATATTTACAATATTTTAGAATTAAGTCTTTTTAATTATCTGCCTTTTCAAGAGGTATATCTGATATATCTGCAGCAGTTAATTCTTGAACAAGATCCAAATTTAATTGCTCACTTTTAGAGAAAATTTGTTTAAATTTTGCGAAGAATTATTTATATTAGTTTGCCGATTTGCTTTTGCATTTTGATGTTTAATGAAATAAGATGATCATTAAGTATAGGTTTATTTCTATGATTTAAGACTATTCGACAAACTCGGCACATTAATGAAGTGCCTTCAACATAAAACTCTCGTTCATATTCCGTTGTTGAATATGGACCTTGTATTCTATTATTTGCGGTAATCATTTTCTTAAATTTTTTAACAAAATTATTGACAATTTTTTTTTGTTTCCATTGAAATATTTGAAATTTATAACCAAAAGTGTTATTTTTATAAAGTAAAAATTGTGGTTCGTTAAAACCGTTATTGTCCGTTTACTCCTTTAATTTTTAATTGTTTATGTAGTATAGCCAATCACATTACCAATAGATTCTGCGGATTCTGCTACTGCGCATCTTAAATTCTCGATACTTGGCGCAGTATCGTACCGGTGATAAAAAAATTAAGCGTTAAATTTTAAAATGAAGCATACTGGAGAAAATGAATCATAGTGGGTAATTGTGATCGGAAATATTGATTATTTTTCATTTCAATTGCTAACCTTCTGAATTTATGTTGTAGGTTCGAGATTACTTAATCTCAAGAAGATAGTGTTATAAGGTAGAGAAAAACTCTGTAGATATGTGTGGGAAAATTTATTTAGAAAAAAGTATGGGATGGGAATCTTGTAATTAGAAATATTAGCAATATTAGCAATAGAAAAAATTAGCTATAGAAATTATTCAGGGAGCAAAAGAAATAACTTGATGCTGGGACTCGCATTAAATGGCCTAGGATCCGCGTACTCCCTCTTTGATAGCATCAACCATTTCGCTTGCTTCTCTAGCATTTCCTGATTCGTGACTAAAAAATCATTAATAAATTTTCATCATTTGTATCAAATTTATTTTCTTTGCAAAAAATCGTTACCATTGGTAACGATCAAAATCATGTGACTTTAAAATAATATCTGAGCGCCAGTCATATAACAAATTCTCCAGTTTTAAGGAAAAAAAAAAACCTCTCTTCACTCCATGTATTCATCCGTTGTAATAAAAAATTTCTAATATAACTGTTTCTGGAACGGCTGTTAATCTTTGGTGTATCGTTCGTGAAAATCGTGCTATTTTCAAAATTACTATTGGAGTGAATAACGATCTTTACGACCTTAGAAAAGCTATCTTAGAGGAGCTTCCTAACGCTGAGAATGTAAAAGCCATCCAACTCACTCTATGGAGGGTCAAAGTTGCTTCAAGTGTATTTAGGAATAAGGACATTGACATTGATACTTATTTAAACGATGAATTAGAAGATTCATCGGATACAGTTGGAAATGCATTTCAAAACGTTGAAGGAAGTAATATTCGAGTTGTTGTCGGTGTTCCCGTTACTGGTGAGTCATAACAAAATTTTTCGTCTTCTATCATATTTGCCAATAATACCAAATACTTACATAATCTTGTGCTTTCTTTCCCGCTTCTTATCGTCAAACTCGCCCAAAAACACATTCGCGTTATCGTAGAGCAAGTTGATGTTGGTAAGTGAAACGTAATTAATTTGGTCAACGCGAGTGACGCGTAACCTTTTTGATAGCTGTCATGTCTTCTCAAATCTGACTTAACTTTTTTCCTTGATTTTGGTCTGATCTCATTTTTTTTCGCGATAAAGCAGATCCCTTACAGCAAAGCGTTCCACTTGGTATAATATCTGCAGTTAAATAGCTTGAGTATCTAAAAAATCTCTAACAAAGCTTTATATCCATAGAACAAGTATTGAGATTTGCGGATTCTTACTGGGAGGAGTTGAAAGTAAAACTGGTCAAAAATATCGAACTAGAAAATTTTAAAGTTATTAACCACATATATGAAGAAAGAATCAATGCATCCGGAATTCCTGCAATTAATAATAAACCTTTTTCATTTTGCATTCATTACCGGACTTTTCAGGATTTGACAATAATAGCCATGAAGGCTACCTCCATAAAAATATGCTTTCTGCACTATTTAAAAAGGTTATTGGAAATCCCTGGCTCTTCTTAATGGGCAATTCCGGGTAAGAATAGGAATTATTGCAAGCTGAGATGAAAAAATATGGCGAAAGCAAATGAATTCTTTCTTTCTTTTTTTGGTTCTAGATCTGAAAAAACCCGTTGTTTATTTGAGCTACTTTGTAGAACATATGGAATTTACTTTTCATTAAATGCCGGAAATGGTTTCAGAAACTTGAGATCTCAAGACATGAACATTTCTATCACTGATTTAGGCAAATACTTAACTGCTAACGACCCTAAAAAATACACACGTACAGTACTTAATTCACTCGTACCATGCTTCTTGGCTGATTATTCATTTTAATCAAACTTTTAGAGTTCCATAAACAGCGAAATTTTACACTAAAGAATTGGCTTATATTGCAACTCTTGTCAAGGAAACTTGATGGAGATGACTTCTGGATTACCATTTCATGTGTATTTTGCCAATTATCTTCAGAAGATCAGAATGTTCTTGTCATTGAATTTATCAAGAAATTCAAAACTTTGATCCCTTAGCAAAAGCAATTACTAATTGCAATTGATGAATCACAAGCAATCATCATTAAGTATGAAAAGCATTTTTCCACAACTCTTCCTGATGCTCCATTATGACCATTTTTTGCTATATTACTTCGGATAGTACTCCAACTTAGTGCAGGGAATTTATGTCTTGTATTATCAGAAACAGGAATGAGTTTTGATGATATCAAACTTCATGCTGCCTCTACTATTGCTAAATCTGGTGATGCCACATTCAGGAATTTTTTCAGTATATATGATGGGTTTTACGAATGTAATGAGATGAGCAAGTTTATTTGGCGATTTTTACCACTAGATAATAAGCTAATAAAAAGTACCTTCAATATATTTCAGGATCACCAACGATTTATAGTCCAGTTTTTGGAACATGCTCTATTAGATACATCCTCAATGTTCCAGAATGATGTGAATAAAAATGTGGAGATTTGGCAACGTAATGCATTTAATTTCATAATTACTACCTTCATAAAATCATGTTTTCCTAATTTACGTAAAAAGAAAGAAGCATGGAATAAAGTGCTGAATATTATGATTCTTAACTTGTTTTCTTATCATACAAAGTTAGTGAAAGGAAATGGAATTGCAGAAATAGTTCAATATGAATTTGCCCAACTTTGCAGTTTCAAAGGCTTATATGATTTAAATACTTTTCAAATGGATGTCATTTCAGTACAAATAGCAGAACTGATTTCCATCTTGACGTTTAGAGACTATATGAAAAAGACTCCTAATGAATTTAAGGCTAAATTATTAGAAAATCTATGTTCAGTTCATTATAATGCATCATGCGCAGGTTTTCTTTTTGAGTCCTACTTGATTATTTTACTTGCAGAATTGTTTAATAAAAAAATTTGTTAAGAGCATGTTCTCTTTATTGGCATTGAGTATATTGATAATCTGAAATTACTAGTCTCTTGTAAAACAACTATTCGTAACTTTGATGACAAAAACTTAACCATACTTTATTTAAATGGTAATATGAAGAAGGAAAATCCACCTGATTTTTTCAAGAATCTCACTATTACTTTTTTTATGCTGAAAAAAGTTGCTAGTCCAGATTTAGTATGCATTGTTGAGTTCCATACTCCAAATGATATTGTTGAGATTCCCCTTTTTTTCAGACAAAACTAATAAAAGGTACACCTAGTGTCACAACTAAAGATACAACAGATTTGCATCATTTCTATCCTTATGGAGAAAAACGAATTGAGACGAAAAAGAGGCTAAGAAAAGAAGTGCTTGATTGCTTAAAATCTAAGTATTATAAGGTACATGAGTTCTCGTGAATCTGTTTTCTTGTAGTTTTTTCTGCTGAAGCTAAAGTGAAAAACAAATATATTATACATAAGGATTCACAACCAAGAAGATCAGTAGCTTCTAATTTTAATGACCCAAAAGGTATTGAATCTCTATTGCTTAAGTTTCTATTATTTGTTAATCTTAATTAATTCTTTGGTCTAATAAATTTTTTAGCTAATAAACTAATTATTATAATTGATTCTTCTAATGCTGAACATTTTTTTACAAGTTTAAGGTATCATAAAAGTTTATTGATTAATTGTAGTCTTTTCTTTTGTTAATGGTATTTGTTTCCTCTTTTTAGTGAAAAAATAAAAAGATTAAAACTAGTAATTAAGTTACAAATAATTTTTAATACTATTAAAGGTAATACAAGTGGTAAATTAATTTTAAGAGATAGTCTTAATTTAGAAAAAATTACGTATGTACATGGACTTAATAGAAAAAAATTTTTAGTATACCATACAGATACAATGGTTTATCTATACTAATTTAAATAATATAAATAATATATATTATATATTATCCACATTCTGAGATGAAATAAATTTGAAAAATTAAAGAGAATTAATGACTTTAATCTACGCAAACTATTAATTCAATATTAGAACTCTTTGGAAAATAGACCTGTCTATACTGCAGATATTACTAGTTCAGAAAATAATATTAGCGATCAAATGATAAAATAGTGCTATATATTTAGCATTAATTCAAAAATTAAATTCAATGATAAATCAATCTAAATTGGCCTCAATTCAGCAATAATTCAGATACTAATCAACATTAATTGGACAAGTAATTTAACCATAAATTAGCCTAAATTAGCCTCAATTCAGCATTAATTTAGTAATAATTCAGATGCTAATTGATACCAATCAACTCCAATTAAATAAATAATTCAATTATAAATCAGCCTAAATTGATTTCAATTCAGCATTAATTCAGCAATAATTCAGACGTCAATCAACATCAATTGAATCTAATCAAACAAGCAATTCAGTATTAATTAATATATAAAATTAGTATATTTTATTTATTAAATTTAAAATTTTATTAATAATAAAAACCTAATATAAATTCGCAAAAATATAACAAAAATATTACTAAAACTTACTGATTAATTTTCTATTAAAATAAAATAATAAAATAATAAAAATATAATCTATTTCTTTTCAAAATTTCCTAAAATCTTCATAAATATAGATAAATAAATAATATATGATAAAA